AAAAATTAGTTTTATTTTTACTTTATGTATATAAGTGTTTTGCCTGCATGTATGTAAGTGCACCATGTGTATGCAACATCCATGGAGGCTAGAAAAGGGTGTCAGATCCCTTGGAACTGGTGTTATGGATGACTGCCATGTGGGTGCTGGGAACCAAACCTGGGTCCTCTGCAAGAGCAGCCAGTGTTCTTAACCATTGAGCCATCTCTCCAGCCCCTCTTGTCTGTTTTTAAATTCCCATTTAAGTATACACCTGTGAGTCTATGCCACATGTGTGCAGGTGCCTGTGGAAGTGGCAAGAGGGTATTGGATCCCCTGGAACAGAGTTATAGAAAGTTGTGAGCTGCCTGTGGGTACTGGGAACCAAACTCAGGCCTCTGCAAGAACAGCAAATATTCTTAACTACTGAACCATCTCTTCAGCCCTTTTTTTTGGTGGGGGGGGAAATGCGGACAAGACTCCATATAACCCAAGCTATCTATAAATTCCTGATCTTCCTGCCTCTACCTTTCAAGTATTAGGATGACAGGAATGTATTGCCATGCCTAGCTTCAAACTTCTGTGATTTGTCTTTCTTGAGAGTAAGGTCTCATGTAGCCCAGGCTAGCCTCAAACTTAGTATCTAGCTAAGAATAGCTCTGGACTCCTGATCTTTGTGTCTACACCTCCCAAGAGCTGGAATTATAGGTGTGTACCACTATACCTAGATGAACACTTTTTTTTGTGGTGCTGGAGATTAAATCTAGGTCCTTGTATATTAAGAAACATTCTGCTGGGTGTGGTGACGCACGCCTTTGATCCCAGCGCTGGGGAGGCAGAGACAGGTGGATCCTCTGTGAGTTCTGAGGCCAGCCTGATCTACATAGTGAGTTCCAGGACAGCTGGGGCTACAGAGAGACCCTGTCTCAAAAAGACCCCCCCCCCAAAAAAAAACCCACCGAAATAAACATTCTGTGTGTGCATGATGTGTGCCTGTTCACATGTATGGGTATGTGTTCAGGTGCATGTGCATATGTATATGCATGCATATGGAGGCCAAAGGTTGACATCGGGTATCTTCCTTGATCCTTCTCTACATTATTTACTGAGGCAGGCTCTTTGGTTGAACCAAGCTTGCTGATTCAGCTAGTCTAGCTAGCCAGCCTTCCCTGGGGATCCCTTCTCTCCCAACTTCCAAACACTGGGATTACAAGCAGGCTGCTACACCTGCCCGGCTTTTTTATGTGGTGTTAGGGATCCAAATTCCAGTTCTTGGACCAGCAAGATGGCTCAGCAGTTAAAGGAGTTTGATCTCCAGGATCCAGGACCAATGTAATGCTAGGAGAGACCCAATTCCCACAAGTTGTCCTCTCACTTCTACACTTGTGCGCAAGCACACACAGACACAGACACACAGACACACACAGACACACACACACACACACACACACACACAGACACACAGACACACACAGACAACTTTTAAAAAGAAAAAAAGGGGGCTGGAGAGATGGCTCAGCAGTTAAGAACACTGGTTGTTCTTGAAGACCTGGGTTCAAATCCCAGCACCCACATGGCAGCTAACAACTGTCCATAACCCCAGTCCCAGGGGATCCGATAGCCTCTTCTGACATCTGTGGGCACTGCACGAAATGGGTGCACTTACCTACATGCAGGCAATACACGCATACACATAAATAAAAGAAAAAAAGAAAAAAAAGTTCAAGTGTTTTATCCACTAAGTCATCTCCCCAACCCAAGAGACATGAAATTAAAGGCATGTACCACCACACCTGGCTCCAGAAGACATTCTTGAAAGGATAAAATTAGAGAGATAGAGAACAGATTAGGGATTGGCAGGCAAGAGCAGGAAGAAAATGGGCATGACTACAGAGGAATAGTAACCATAGTGGATAAGCGGGTGTGGTAGCATACCCACCCCTTCTTTTGGTCGTTTTGAGATAGGGTCTCCCTGTAGCCCCAGCTGGCCTAGGACTATGTAGACCAGGCTGACCTTGAACTCACAGAAATTCACCTGCCTCAGCCTCTCAAATGCTGGGATTAAAGGCATGTGTCACCACACCCGGCAGCATACACCTTTAATCAGAGCACTTGGAAGGCAGAGTCACTCAGATCTTTCTGAGTTTAAGGCCAGCCTGGTTTACATAACAAGTTCTGGGCCAAAACAAGAACAAGGGCTGGAGAGATGGCTCAGCAGGTTACAAGCACTGGCTATTCTTACAGAAGACCAGGGTTCAGTTCCCAGCACCCACATGGCAGCTAACCACCATCTGTAACTCCAGTTCCAGAAGATCTGATGCCTTCTGACTTCCTCAGGTACTGCACGATATGGATGCACTTACATACACGTCAGCAATACACATGTACACATAAAAATAAAAATAATAGGGCTGGAGAGATGGCTCAGCAGTTAAGAACATTGGTTGTTCTTCAAGAAGACCCAGGTTCGGATCTCAGCACCCACATGGCAGCTAATAACTGTCCGTAACTCCAGCCCCAGGGGATCCAACAGCCTCTTCTGACCTCCGTGGGCATCACATGACACAGGTGCACTTACCTACATTCAGGCAATACATGCATACATATAAAATTAAAAAAAAAATAAAGTAATTAAAAACGAGTCATTAAAAAAAATAAAATGAAAATAACAATATTTTTTGTTTTTGTTTTTTTGTGTGTGGTTTGTCTTTTTTTTTGGTCTTTTTGGTCCTGTAGCCCCAGCTGGCTTGGAACTCACTATGTAGACCAGGCTGGCCTTGAACTCACAGAAGTCCACCTGCCTCTGCCTCCCAAGTACTAGGACTAAAGGTGTGTACCACCACACCCGGCCAATAAGTATTTTTTTAAAGCTGTCTTTTTGTCTTGAAACCTTACCCAATTCTGCAAGACATAATTACTGCAGAAACACCATGAAAAGTACAAAAGACATCTGTATGAGTTCCTCCAATAACTGAGTATGTAATAATAAAGAGGTTAACACAAAGGCCACATTCACATTTCCAAAAAATCTACAGTCCAGGGATAATTACCTTTATGGTCCCCACTCGGTCTTCAAATGACTTGAAGGTTGCAGAATTCCTTTAACAAGAGAGGGAAAAGATGTTGGTGTGAAAAGCAACTTCTGTGTCACCTTCCTCAAGCTGAAAGACCTCAGGGCTATGACCGTGTCCAGCTTCTGAGCTCTTGTTACAAAAATGTGACACAACAGAAAGAGTATGATGGCTCTCAGAGTCCACACGGTCATTTTTGGGTGCTCTACAGATCATGCCCAGATGGCATATAAGAATACTGCAAACTGCTGCCTATAGTATGTAGGATCCCTGCTGTGACCGAAGTGGACATTCCTGACTGGGCTCAAATACAGCCTGGCTGGGGATTATCCCCAGCACCAAGAAAAAGAAAAAAGGAAAAGATAAAAAGACACTTTTGGCTTTCTCCTTTCCAATCCTCAGAAGAGAATATGAATGTGGTCCTCCATACCATAAATTGTGCAGTCCAGTTTCACAAATTTTGGGGAATCGTCAGGTTCAATACACCCAGAGTACAATGAGAAAACCACCTTCTTGTCATGGTTATCTCCCCTGACCCATGGCTCTTTTGTACTGGGACTATGGAACATCCTAGAGTTCTTCAAATACATCTTCATACAAATGAAGTAAAAGGAAAATTGCAGACAATTCTGGAACAGTAGAAGGTGAGGAGGCAGAGGAGAAACTAGGTTCTCACACAATCAGATTAGGAGTTAGCTGGGCAAGGCAGAAAAAAAGTAGGCATGGCTGCAGAGGCACAGTGACCATGGTGGGTAAGTATGCTGTTTCAGCTGGGTATGGTGGCATACACCTTTGGTCCCAGCACTTGGAAGGCAGAGGTAGGCAGAGCTCTGTGAGTTTAAGGTCAGCCTGGTCTACATAGTGAGTTCTAAGACTAGTTTCCCAACAGTCTCTCTAACAAGGATAGGATCTGCTGAGGCACGATGCCTGGCCAAGCAGGTGAAAAGCAATAGACCACACTATAGGTGAGTCTGTTGAGTTCTAAGAACGAGGACTCCAGAAATCCAGCTGTGGAGGTGCCAGTTCATGTACCAGCCTCTCCACTCCTCCCTGCTAACCCCATAGGCATCCAGAGCTAGAGCCTGCAAAGTTCAGTATGGGGCCTAGTTTCACAGAATGGTTCCCTCTGGAGGCCTCAGGAAAGGAGTTTCACTCCCGTGAGCTCTACTTTATCAGCCTACAGGAGGTCTTTATCTGACAAGAAGCTTCTGAGGAAATGGGGATACATGAAGCTATGACAAGTATTGCTGCCCACCCCTACCCAGGCACATTTCTAGAGCAATGGAAGCAGGTGTACATTACCTCATGGCCGGCATACTTATCGAGTGGCGTATGGAGTAGGTGCTGCTTGGAAGCATGGTGAAAGCAGAGAACGAAGCAAGAGTTAGCCATGTGCCAGATCAGCCCACGCTTGCCAGCTTAGCTAACATATACACTAATCTGTTAGTGAGAGGAAGAGGCAGGACTCCACACTCCCAGCGCAGTTGGAATGAGCTGTTGGCCCTTTCTGGAAGAAAAACTACCCCAGGCTGCTCTCTCTCAGTTCCACAGGAGGTTTCTAATGCTGCCACTGCCAGGGAATGTGGCACTGACCAAGGAGAGAATTTAAAAAAGGAAACTATGAGGCTGGAGAGATGGCTCAGCGGTTAAGAACATTGGTTGTTCTTGCAGAAGACCCGGGTTTGAATCCCAGCACCCACATGGCAGCTAACTCCAGTTCCAGGGGATCTGACAGCCTCTTATGATATCTGCGGGCATTGCATGACACGGGTGTACTTACCTACATGCAGGCAATACATGCATACACATAAAATAAAAATAATAAAATTGAAAAAAAAAAAAAAGGAAACTATATGGAGACCCTAGGCCTGGGGCTTTGGAAGTGTCTGGTCCACATAGTCTTCAGATGTCCTCACAGCAAGATGAATGTTTGGGGCAAAAGTGTAACACCCAAGGAAAGTTAAGTAAAAATATTTAAAGTCAGAGTGCTCTGATTTGGTTTCAGACTTAAATTTCTGGGCATTTCTGACCACTATTGGGTGTGGTAATATTGCTCTCAGATAAGAAATTAGACAAAACAGCCTGACAGACAGGACTCCTTCTCAGCAAGATAGGATTGAGAACAGAAGAGCAGAGTTGGTGTTACCTCCTGTGTGAAAATGTTCCTTTTCAGGAATAAACTTAGATACAGACACTGAGACACATTTGCTATGTGAGGTCAGGTTAGTAACTCATTGCCCAAGGAGTAGGCAGTCCAATCATACCCAGACATGAGGCACCCAAAGGGGACAGACAAGTAGTCCCTATATAGACCATGCTTTTTGAGCAGCAAGCTGCCTACTGGGTATTGTCCTGAGGGAAAGGGGGCTTCCAATGCACTGGCTCACTAATTTCCATCTAGCAAAGCCTCCAGAGTCTGCCCTGCCCTAATACAGAGATGTGTCCACATGTCATGTCCAAAGTCATCTTACCTAAAGGAGTGTGAGAACGGATGAACCCTGAAAGATGCAGCAGGAAGAAAGAAAAAAGGCTGAATTAAGGGAGGCCAGCATCACATTAAGACCCCCCCCTAAACCCCAAACCCCCTTTGCTCAAGCTCTGGAAAGTCAAGCAAGGGGCAGCATGTAGAAAGATATCCTGTGAATGCCTCTTTAGTGCTCACACTGATAGAAAAGACCGGACACATAGCCCTATCTTGCCCCTACAAAAGGTTAATAAGAGCATAAATGGCAACGATGTGGCCATGGCACTATATTTCTGGGCATCATCACAAGTACCGGAGAACATACTGTTGGAAGTTAAAAGACAGAAAGCAAAAGGAGATCTGAAGAAAACACCTAAAACATTAAGTAGCCCAATGAGTAGTGCAAAGATGTAACACAGTAAGCCAGCCAGGCTAGGTCAATACTTCATGTCCCTGGAGCATCCTGCATTCTCTGAAGCTGAGCTGGAACCCGAGCACCCCAAGAGGACCTAGAATACACTCAGAAACAAGCACTTCTGCTCTAGGCTATATCACGTGGTCAGAGGCCAACCTGGAAACATGTATATATATATAAGGGCAGCTGCTGACACGGGCCAACACACCTGGCTACTCATTTTCAGTACCTCCAGACCTCTACCTCTTAACGTGCTAGGAAGCTAGCTAAGGCCCTGAGCAGAGGTCACTCCTGACAGAGAGAGAATCACTAAAAAATGCATTCATTTACCATTCTATGGGTAGAAGTGAGGTCTGCTTCTGTCCAAGTCACCAAGCCTATTTCCCACTCCCTCTCTCCTCAGGCTCAGTGTATACCAGAGGCACCTGGGGCTCCAGGACAGGCCCACCATAGACATGGTCATCCATCTAACTTTGAACTCATATTAGCCTTCTCTGCCTAACAAGCTTTCTCAAGAATCCCTGAGCATGGGGTTAGCGAGATAGTTTAGTGGTTAAGAGCACTGGCTGTTCTTGCAGAAGACCTGAGTTTGAACCCCAGCACCTACATGGCGTTTAACAATCATCCATAACTCCAGTTCCAGGGGATCCAATGCCCTCTTCTGTTCTCCATGGGCACGGCATGACATGGGTATACTTACACATGTACAGACATTAACACTCACAAACATTAAATAAAAATAAATAAAAGACAGTGATGCTGTACCCCTCACAGATTTAAACTAATGGAATGTAAATAAAGAAAAGTGGATTTGTAAAAAAAAAAAAAAAAAAAAAATAGAAGAATTCCTGAGGGGCTGGAGAGATGGCTCAGCGGTTAAGAACACCAATTGTTTTTGCAGAAGACCAGGGTTCGAATCCCAGCATCCACACGGCAGCTAACAACTGTCCGTAACTCCAGTCCCAGAGGATCCGACAGCCTCTTCTGTCTTCTGTGGGCACTGCACAACATGGGTGCACTTACCTACACGCAGGCAATACACACATACACATAAAATAAAAATAATAAAATATATATAAAAAAAGAATTTTTGAATTTAACTCAAGATTCCATCTTAAATCAGGAGTTTAATGGGCCTGGGCATTAGAAACCACTAGGACTCTTTGTGAGATAATGGAGAGCTGGTATGAGCCAGAGAGGTCAGATTTATAATATCACTACAAACACCAACAAAAATGACTCCCTCTCCAAGGGAAGACATGCCAGTAAATAGGAAGCCCTTTGGGCACTGTCAACACAATTAGTACAACCAACGATCTGGAGAGAGAGACAGTTCTTCTGACCTTGTCCTAGAACCCCTGCTCACCCAGGCTGACCTACACATGCTAGAACAGTGACACTGGACATGCAGACAGGGTTATCCCAACAGCACCGCCATAAGGACCCTGCTAACTGCCTGCCACAGCCCCAAGACTGCTTATCATGGGGTCAGTGGTGAATCCAAGTTCTCTGAGCAGAAAATAGAAGCTTTACTCCTCCCCTCTAAGAAGGAAAGAAACAGGAGAGTGTCTTGTGCTCCCCTCAGAAAGGGCAGGCTTTATATAGAATAGCCAATCAAGATGGCTCACAGATGGGGCTGGAGAGATGGCTCAACCCCAGTCTTCCACAAGACCAAAGTTTAATTTCCAGCACCCACAATGGGTGGCTCACAACCACCTGTAACTCCAGCTCCAGGGGAACCAATGCCCTCTTCCTGCTTCTGTAGGCACTGCATAAACCAGACATCAACATACATATACACATTAATTAAAATAAAATATCTTTTTAAAAAGATGGCTCACACCCATTCCCATCAGTGCTAATGACTGCCCACCCAGATGTTCTAAACAGACTCAAAAAGAAGTCAAAGCTGGGTGTGATGCCTCATGCCTATAATCCCAGCATTTGGGAAGTGAAGTAGGAAAATTACTATTGAGTTTTGGACACAGGACACACACACACACACACACACACACACACACACACACACACACACAGAAGGAGGGGGTGCAAAAAAGGGAGTAAGAGTACCTGAAATGTGCAATCCATTTCCAAGAAGAATAGAATGGCAACCCCTGGAAGCCAGCCAGGACATCAGTGGTGCAATCAACAACTTCCCACCTGGCTTACCACCTCACAAACAGACTCTAGTCTGATTCTAGAGATAGCTTATAGCCTGCCCTGACTGACATCCCATCCCACTGGACTTCAATTTCTAGGCCACACTAGGGAGAAGAAACTGGTGATATTCCCTCCACCAAGGAATACAGAATGGTGAAATGAAGACGCGGAGTTGAAGGAACCCCCACAAACAAAGGTTCACATGCAAACTGGTCCAGGCTGTTATGGGTGCCCCTATGTTTTATGTCTGAGCCACTGGCTCCAGGGCAGGCTTCTGAGAGATCCTCTAGCTGCTCACCTCATGTCTCCAAGCTTCCTGCTGATGGCAGAGCCCATAGTGGACAGGGCAGCAGATGTCTTCTGGCCTGCATGTGAAAGGGTTTCTTGAGTCTTCTTGTAGCTGGGAAGAAGACATACCAATTAGAATAACCAAACAACAAATCTAGCAACAGCTTTTCACCAAGGAAACAAAGTGTAGGGAGAGTACTCAAGGGAAAGGCAGGGAGGAATCTGGCAGGTGGTAAGCACTGGGTAGTAGGGGCATGGCCCCTTGGCCCCTACACTGCAGACCTACTTCAGTTCCTCAATTTACCCCAGCTTCAGGTTTACCTAAAGCTGACCTAAGATTTAATCTACTTTCCTGTCTTATGGCACCTCTGACTGCTCAGGAAACCAAAACCTCCCCACTACAGAGAAAACAGGCCACAGAGGTACTGGGTCTGGCTACCTACCTGGGCCGGCAATGCTGGAGCAAGAGGCCAGGAAAGCCCTCAGTTCCTGACCACACTAATTCAAGCTCAAAGCTTCCCTTTCTTCTTCCCACATAAAGACAGTCTTTTGAGACAGGCAAGCACAAGCTCAAGTATGCCAATGAGAGATGTCCTAATTGTGGGCTAGCACCTGTGTTGTGCCTTCTTCAGACTGAGAAGCCCTCTGATTTCTGGCACTGTCTGTACGATATCCTTCCAGAATATGGACAGCCTTTTCTCGTGCCTGCTCCCCAGTACAGATGTACTCTTGGCCCACAGCAAAGACTACCAGTCCCATCCCCTCTCATTCCTTTGTTGTCCATCCACATATGTAGACATCATTCTAAGACAGTTCCATAACCTCAACACCATCTGATGAGTACAGGGAGGGGCAGGGGCATTATGGTAGCTCTTGTCCAGCTGCTACCCAAAACAAAAGACATAGCAGCTCCAATATGACAAAGACCATTACCTAAGCCTCTTTCAAAGCCTTCAGGCCACAGCACCTCACTGAACAAAACTGGGGAACTTGAAGCTGAGTCAAGGGTATAAATGAAGACTTCTAAAGCTTCCTGACATCACCAAAGTGACCTAAAGAATGCCTTTCCAGTTAACTTGGCCAAGCATGACGTAAGGGGTAATAGCTGACCAGCTTCCCCATAAAATAAGGCTACTTCTGTCCCTGTTGGTGTTACCTGCTCAGCACCAGTAACTGACTTTCCAAGGCCTTCCTGTCCCTACTCCCTTATAAGAAGCCTTGTGAGAGCATCTACCACCCCATAGGCTAAAGGCAGGTCTAGTAGCTCACGTGGAAGGTCCCTGTAGCCTCTTCCTGGCCTGGATAGTAGCACCTCCTGAACCTACCCAAAGCCTAGCCACATGGCACTTCCCTGCCAAAGCTAGGGAAGCAAGATTCACTATAATACACTATACTGAAACCAAAGTGTTTTCTGTAAAACACCAAGCTCAAGGCAACTAAGAACTGGCAACATTCAGTTGCAGAAATATAAATTCAGGATCCCCAGCACCCACAAAAGGGAAGGAAGGAGGGAGGGGAAGAGAGAGATTGAGAAAATGAGAGAGAGAGAGAGAGAGAGACAGAGACAGAGAGAGAGAGAGAGAGAGACAGAGAGAGAGAGAGACAGAGACAGAGAGAGGATACATACCAGTCATGGTGGCACATGCCTATAATACCAGCACCTAGGAGGCTAAGGCAAGAAGATGGAAGGTCTGAAGGCAGACAAAGCTGCATAGCAACACCCTATCTTTAAAAAAACAAAACAAAATAAAACATCCAGATTTCTGCACCTTCCATGGCTCCAGTGTTGCAGGCCTATTGTGACCACCTCATATACATAGACAAGCATACTCCATGGAAACATGGGAGTCATCAAAGACATCAATGAGAAGGCAAAGCTACCAGGAGCTAGCAGGAAGCAGTGACAAACTACTGGCTAGGGAGCAGTGGGCTATGCTACTCCCAGATAGCTTCTCTTTGAGACTTAGACCTCTTAAGAAAGCCTAGGACAGACACTGTGTCTATCAGCCAATGTGGCGATCTAACAGATGTGCTCTTCCCTCCTCTTCAGAGTCCTCCTTTTCAGGCTACCCTTACTTCTTCCTGAGCTGACAAGAGGTTAACAGTTCCCTGGCCACAGCAACTACAATAATAGCCATTATTATTATAATAGCCTACCATCCCTAGGTCACCTTGTTGGGCTGCAATGTTGGGAACAGGAACTTCTCTATCAACCTACTCTAGCTGACACTAGTTGTGCTATCACCTATAGCACAAGAGCACAAAGAACCCAAAAGGGAACCATGATCCTACTAGTGATTACAGAACTTGTGTGGTCCACTATTTTCAGACACAGTTACCTGTAAAGAAAACACAAAAAGGGTTTCATGACCCACAGAACCCAGATGCTCCTACATATAGAAGTGGCTAGCTAGGAAAACAAGACCTCTCACAACATCTCAACTGTGCTAAGTGTAGCACAGCTTTTCCAAGGCTAACCCTAGAGGAGCAGACACACATACTGAGCCCTATGCTGTTCCAGTCTTTCAAGGAGCTGCTGGCTGAAAGGAATCTTCTACAAACACATGGGTAAGGAAGGTCAAGAAGCTTAGGAACATGGCCTTCCTCTGTCAAAGCTCCAGTCAAATTCTGCCAGTGGTCTAGTTCCTCAATTCTGATCAAGACAGGCACCAACTGGGAAGAGGAATCAGAGTATGTGACAACTCCAACACCTGCACCATCCCCATCCCCTGGACTGTTAGTTCAGAAATGCTTCCAGCTCAAGAAGCATTGTTGACAAGCTCTTCCCCTAAAAATTGGGCAAGACCCTAGAAGAAGGCTTCTGTCAGAGTAAGCACTTAGAATGGGGTGTCCCATCAGTTATACTTCTATACTAAGCCACAGGTTTCTCTCACAGGGGTCAGCATTCCATGTGTTCGATGTAAGCTTTTTGAGAAACTATTTGAGATAGCATCTCAGCAGCTCTGTCGGGTTATTTTCCCCCACATGAGAATACACAGTTTTCCCAAGATTATCTTTGGGCTGAATCTGCACTATGAAGCCTGTCCAGGGTCCTAGCAAGCATAGATAGCAATGTCTCCACCTAGGGAACATGTTTCCCAGCAAACTCACTGTCTAGTGCAGTCTTGAAGACAACTACCAGTGTACATGGGCCACCTAAAGGCACAACTGGGAGTTGAACACTACCAGTTGAACTGGGAGCATACACACCACCAGAGCTTTCTATACCTGCTTCCCACATGACACCAGATCTTAAGACCCTACATGCATAGGGAAGCAAGCTGGTCCCTTGGTACCATCAAGGCAAGCACAACAGCATTTCCTTCAGCCCAAGCATGTAAGGATTTCTGCCCATGCATTATGATAACCATAGCAACACCTTCTTCAAAAAAAAAGAGTCTATTTAGCCAGGCGTGATGGCACACGCCTGTAGTCCCAGCACTTGGGAGGCAGAGGCAGGTAGAGCTGTCAGTTCAAGGCCAGCCTGGTCTACATAGGAGTTCCAGGTTAGCTAGGGCTACAGGGAGACCCTGTCTCAAAAATACCCCCCAAAAATAAATAAAGGAGAGACTATTTTAAGCATTTCCCCTGTCAAAGCTCCAGGCAGTCAAATCCTGCCAGAAACCCACCAGGCAGAGGACAAAGATATTACAGATAAGAACACAGATAAATGACATGCTATACCTAGGTTAAAGATCTCAAAACAACAGAAGTCACTGAACTATAGCTCTTACAGGCACAGAAAGCTGTCCACAGTAATCTGTGCTCGGCTGACATTCCATGTGGCTGACAGTACAGCACCCCAGACCACAAGACTTCATGAATCCACCAGCATGTACCACTGCTCCCCATCCAAGCATCTCTCAGAGTCCAACAGCTAGAGCTGAATCTGAGGGTAAAGGACAAGAAGACAACAAACATAAAATCCGCCAACAAAAAAAAAGGTCACATGGCTTTGCCTACTGCCAAAAGTTGAGGTTCAGTTAATGCTCATTTAATACATTTAATACTGCCTGCCAGTTCAGGTCACTCATGCAGCCAGGTAGAAGGGAACTTTAAATATGGTCTAGTGACTGAGTAGATCTCTAACTACTGTACACTGTCCTTCAGGAGTTTAGAACACACTTTATTTGTACTTTGGAAGAGAAAGATAGACAGCAAGCATTGAAAGGTGGTTGGTACCAAGGGTACACAGCTTCCCTGCCCCAGGAAGAGACAGAGGGAAAAGTAAGGGAGGGTACTGACTGTATGGGCACTCACAGGTCAGACTGGGTCACTTTCTCATTCCACTCTCCAATTTTCTCAGAAGTTTTCACATAGCTAAAAACAGAAAGTCTATGGTGAATATTTAGAATGACTTCAACTCAGGCTTCAAGCTATAGGTAAGACTCCAGAAAAAACAGAGACCAACTGGCAAGACTTCTCTACAGCCCACCCAAACAGTCCAGAGCCTCTACCACACCCATGTAGGCCCAGGGCCAGCTAGGCCTCTAGAGGACAGAGATGACTACATCCTCACCCATCACATCACAAAAGCACCTGGTCTTTTAGTAGCAGAAGGCACCAGGGAAGGGCACAGCCCATGGCTCCTAAGTTCTCTTACAGTTACCTTCTGTGACTCAAAAGTTCACAACATCCTAGGTATAGAAACATCAGGTTTCTATCGGTGAAGTTTACAAAATGTAACTCAATCTGTTCTTTAAGACATGGCTTCTAAAAACATTCTATTCCTCACCTTGAAGGACTGCTATATCATAGGAGAAATATGGCCACAACATGGCAAATTATGCTCAAATTCTGATAGCTGAGTTACATGTGAGTCAGAATTCCTGATGTGTGACAATGTTATACTCATAAGAAGGACTGATATCTTTTTCTCACAAGAAAAGTCACCCTAAGGACCTCAGTGTTACTCTGACCATCCTGAACCTTAAAAGACATTCTCCTTATAAATTTCTACTTGGGCCAGGCATGGTGACACATACTATTAGTTCCAGAACTTGGGAGGCAGAAGCAGGTGGATCTCTGTGAGATCAAGGCCAGCAAGGTCTACATAGCAAGTTCCAGGCCAGCTGGGGCTACAGGGAGGCACTGTCACAAAAAGACCAAATAAAAGAAATAAATAAATTTCTATTTGGATACCTATAGTGTGTCCATCCACCTTTTCAAATATATGTAGATTCCAGGCTCTGAGTAAACACAGGCAGAGTTCCTCAGTTAAGAACTCTAATGACAGGGGCTAGAGCGATAGCTCAGCGGTTAAGAGCACTGACTGCTCTTGCAGAGGACCTGGGTTCGATTCCCAGCACCCACATGGCGGCTACAAACCGTCCTTAACTCCAGTTCCAGGGGAATCCGAAACCCTCTTCTGACCTCCAAGGCATTGGACGACACAGGTGCACTCACATACATGCAAGGTGATACACTCACACACATAAAAATAATAAACAAAATATTTAAGAAAAAAAAAAAGAACTCAAATGACAGAGATAAAGAGATGGCTCAATGGTTAAGAGCACTGGCTAGCTGGGCATGGTAGTGCATGCCTTTAGTCCCAGCACTTAGAAGGCAGAGGCAGAGGCAGAGACAGAGGCAGGTGGATCTCTGTGAGTTGGAAGCTAGCCTGGTCTACAGAGCAAAGTCTTGGCTAGCCGGGGCTACAGGGAGACTCTGTCTCAAAAATACCAAAAAAAAGGATCATTGGTTGCCAGAGGACCTGGGTTCAGTCTCTAGCACTCACATGGTGGATAACAATGTAACTCCAGTTCCAGGGGATCCATTGGCCTCTAGGGGCATTGATACAGGTATACTTACATATATTCAGGCAAAACATTCATAAACATTGAATATTAGCCAGGCGTGGTGACACATGCCTTTAATCCCAACGCTCAGGAGGCAGAGACAGACGGATCTCTGAGAGCTCAAGGCCAGTTTGGTCTCCATTAGCGAATCCAGGCCAGCTGCAGCTACAGGGAGACCTTGTCTCGAAAAGTCCAAAAAAGGGGTTGGGGATTTAGCTCAGTGGTACAGCACTTGCCTAGCAAGCTCAAGGCCCTCAGCTCCAAAAAAAACAAAAAGACAAAAAAAAAAAACAAACCCCAAAACAAACACTGAATATTAATTAAATTTTTGTCTAAAAAAGTAAAAAATTCAAATGCTGAACATGAATAACTCCTCCAAATACTCGGGAGACAGAGGTAGGGGATCTCTGTGAGTTCAAGGCTAGATCCTCTACATAGAGTTCAAGGCGAGGTGGGGCTATACTTTGAGATCTAGCCTCAAGAAAACAAACAAACAAGGCCAGGCATAGCACACACCTTTAATCCCAGCACTCAGGAGGCAGAGGCAGGTGGATCTCTTTGAGATTGAGGCCAGTCTTGGTCTATATATCAAGTTCCAGGACAGCTGGGGCTACAAAATAAAATAAAGCAAAAACGAGAAAAACAAATCCGAAAACAAAAAAAAGGAATTCAAGTCTTCTGGCTATCTGCTTCCAGCAGGCTCACTTAATACCCACTGCTGTAAATCATCTCACCCCTAAGCACACATACACTCTCTACAATGAAGAGGCATACCCCTAGTGAGCACTGTCTCTAGTCAACAGGTGCAATCCCCACCAAGGGACTGGTACCTACGCAGTTGAGACCTGTACATCATGCCAGCTCCTAGACAGGTTCTGCTTCAGCTCCCCTAAGGTAGAAAGGCCCAGCCTTCTTTTCAGCTCCCCACAGTGCCTTTCTTTGGCTGCCAGGACCTGGCGCAGAGTGACAATTTCTTCTTCCACCTGTAAAAGATGCAGGACTGGAGCTATAGCTCAGTTGAGAGACTGGTTACCTTACCTTGCATGCATGAAGCCCTGGATTAAGACTCCCAGTACCACCAAAATAAATGGGAGGGAGAGAGAGAGGGAGGGAGGGGAGAAAGAAGAGAAAGAGAAGATGCAGTTGACATCATAGGCCACAACTATTGCAGGAAGTTCTTGCACACGCTACAATGAGACTTTCTCAGAAATTTCCACTTACAGAAACACAATTTGTCTTCAAAATAGCATCCACAACAGCAGCTATTCTGTTTTTATGTAGCATCAGCACTCTCAACTTCTAGAAAACCGCTCCACCACTGCCCCACCCCACCCTGCCCCAAACAAGCCAGCAATTTTGCTACAACTAACAAATATTGCCCCCATTCCCCTAAGTCTCAGAATTATGAAGTGAGCCTTGTCAGAACTCTTCCCTGAGAATGGACATGAATGTTAGGACAGATGTGCCTTTTCCTATGGACTCTGGGCCTGGCTTAGACATAGCAACTGAACTGTCAGCAGTGAGGCCCCAGCTACACCCATTGGGGAATTCTCTACATAGTCAGAAGGAAGCAAAATGACAGATGGACAAAGACCTAGGTGACAGAGAAGCATCTCTTAAAACATCTGTGTTTCACAGGTTAGCTCCAGGCTTAGAGAGCCAGTTACCTAAACTAAAAGGTTCTCTTTTGTCACAGCAATTTGAGTGAGGTAAGAGAAAGATTCTTGATAATAGAACTTGAACTTTTTAAAGAAAAGTGACTTGTGAATGGAGTATCTTTTTTTTTTTTTTTGGTCTTTTTGAGACAGGGTCTCCCTGTAGCCTCAGCTGTCCTGGAACTTGCTATGTAGACCAGGCTGGCCTCGAACTCACAGAGATCCGCCTGCCTCTGCCTCCCAAGTGCTGGGATTAAAGGCATGCGCCACCATGCTCAGCTCTTTTTTTAAATTTTTAAAAATACTTTATTATTTTTATTTTATGTGTATGTGTATTGCCTGCATGTATGTGAGTGCACCCATGGCATGTGATGCCACGGAGGTCAGAAAAGGGCTTAGGATTCCCCTGGAACTGGAGTTACAGATGGTTCGTAGCCGCCATGTGGGTGCTGGGAATCGAACCCAGGACCTCTGCAAGAGCAGTCAGTGCTCTTAACCTCTGAGCCATCTCTCCAACCCCAGGAGTACCTTTTGAAGCTTTCCCACAATACAGTGTTCTTGGTATTTTTAGTCCCTGTGTAAATAACTACACTAAAAAAAATTCCCTTTTAGTCAAGCATGGTGGTACACTTCTATAGTCCCAACTACTCGAGAATTGCTTGACCCCTATATGGGGGCAAGATCCTATATCAAAAAAGAAAAAAAAAGGGGAGGAGGGCTGAAGAGATGGCTCAACAGTTAAGAATACTTTTGTTCTTCTAGAGGACCCAAGTTCAATTCCCAGCACCCACATAGCAGCTAACAACCATCTGTAACTCTAGTTCTAGGGGATCCAACACCCTTTTCTGGCTTCTGCAAGCATTGCATGCATGTGGTGTACTTACAGACATGAAGGCAAAACACTCTTACACATAAAATAAAAATATTTTTTAAAAAAAGAAGAAAGAAAAGGCTAGAGAGATGGCTCAGCAGTTAAGAGCACATACAGTTCTTACAGGGGACCCAGGTTTGGTTTCTAGCACCCACATGAGGCAGTTCACAACCACCTGTAACTCCAGCTCCAGGGGGATCTGACACCTCTGGCCTCTGTGGGCACCTATATTCACATACAAATGCTCACACAGACGTAATTAAAAATAAAATGAATATTTAAAAAAAGAAAGAAAGAAGCCAGGCGTGGTGGTGCGCACCTTTAATCCCAGCACTCGGGAGGCAGAGGCAGGTGGATCTTTGTGAGTTCGAGGCTAGCCTGGTCTACATAGTGAGTTCCAAGACAGCCAGGGCTCAAAAAGACAAAAAGAAAGAAAGAAAGAAAGAAAGAAAGAAAGAAAGAAAGAAAGAAAGAAAGAAAGAAAGAAAGAAAGAAAGAAAGAAAGAAAGAAAGAAAGAAAGAAAGAAAGAAAGAAAGAAAGAAAGAAAGAAAGAAAGAAAGAAAGAAAGAAAGAAAGAAAGAAAGAAAGAAAGAAAGAAAGAAAGAAAGAAAGAAAGAAAGAAAGAAAGAAAGAAAGAAAGAAAGAAAGAAAGAAAGAAAGAAAGAAAGAAAGAAAGAAAGAAAGAAAGAAAGAAAGAAAGAAAGAAAGAAAGAAAGAAAGAAAGAAAGAAAGAAAGAAAGAAAGAAAGAAAGCCAAGCATGGTAGAACTTCCCTATAATCCTAGCACTTGAGTGGCAGAGAGAGGCATGAGTATTGTGAGTTAGAGGCATTGGGCAAATAGCAAGACTTTTTCTCAAAAAATCTAGAAGATTCAGTCTATGGGGCTGGCAGATGGGCCAGTGGTGAAGAGCACCTGTTGCCCTTCCAAAGAACCCAAGTTTCAATTACCAACAACCACACTGGGTGGCTTACAACTGCCTGTTAACTCCAGCTTCTGGGGAATCTAATGCCTCTGGCCTCTGTGAGCACTTGCACTCACTGCACAAACCCACACACAGACACAAACATATATACATAATTTAAAAATAAAATAAAAATCTTAAAAAAAAAAAAAAGACTCAGTGCAGACAGATTCATGAGGTCTTAACAATGACTAGTATTTCTAGGCAGAGGTAGAAGGATGAGATGAAACCCTGCCTCCTCCACCAGGTGACTCAAGTACACTTCTTAGAGCCAGGTACATACAAGGAGATAGTCCAGCAGACACAGAAAGCAGGTGATTAACGTCCCAGCAATTTCACCACAGCATAGTCAGTGTTCTACTCCCTATCTATCCCAAGAGGACCTTGACTCATGGTCATGCTGAGACAGGCAACAAAACCACAGCACCTTGGCAAGTTCTGCCCGAAGCTCTTCCTCTTCCACCTCTGTCAGGACCTCTACAGCTGGAGTACGGGGGGCCACCCCTGGGTCAACAGGGACATCAGTCATGAAATCAGACAGCACACCTTTGTTAGGAGAATTCAGGTTGATATCTGTCAGAGACAAAATGAGGTCAAAAAGTGTCAAGCAAGTTATTACTTCACTAGGAAAGAAGCAGGAGTGGAAAGACAGGTGGCAAAAAGGAGAACATGGAGACTAGCAATACCACTAAAGGCTCGTGAAGATGGTCTCTGAGCACTAGACAGAGAACAGCTACTTCTTGGGTACCTAGGATGTAAACCCAATACCACCTGTGCTGCTGGGGCACAAGAAAAACTAGCCAAACCCTATGGAGCCAAAACCTAATTCTGGTTTCTCTGATAAGAACACTATCTTCTACAGCAGGAAACCCTGCTTCAAGGAAATCAGCCCATGGGCTGGAGATATGGCTCAGCAGTTAAGAGCACTGACTGCTCTTGCAGAGGCCCTGGGTTCAAGTCCCAGCAACTACATGGCGGCTAACAATCATCTATAACTCCAGTTCCAGGGGATCTAGCGCCTTCTGACCTCCAAGGGCATTGTACATGGGTACACTTATATATAGGCAGGCAATACACTCATACACATTAAAAATTAAAAATAAAATAATAAAATTTTTTGTTTTTTTTTTTGAGGCAGGGTCTCCCTGTAGCTCCCCATCTGCCAGGAAATGCTAAAATTACATACATGAAACATACACTAGTCATCCAGCCCTTAGAAGAAGTCAACAGAACAAAAACCTCCTTTAATCCCACCCCTGATCCTCATCTCACAGGAGACAGACACAAGTGCAGAGGTAGGAAAGGGCACATTCCCCCATGCCCCTACCATGCCAGATTCACTTCAAATTACTAGTCACTATTTTTTTCCTTCCCATTAAGCACATCTTCCTATCTGCACAAAAAGCCTAGAAAATACCACAGAAAGAAAACCATTTTCCTTTGGCTCTCTCCAACCCCAAATACTGTTTAGTATTTTTATATAATCAGTGTTTTAAAACATTTCTCTTTTTTGGTGATACTAGGGATTGAACCTAGGATCTCATGCGTACTAGTCAAATGTTCTACCACTAGGCTATATTCTGAGCTTTTTAATAAATATATTTATATTTTTAATTTTTGTTTGTTTTTTGAGGCAGGGTCTTACTATGTAGCCCTAGCTGGCCTACTCTCTGAGTAGACCAGTCTGGTCTTGAACTAATAGACATCTGCCTACCTCTGCCTCCCAAGTCCTGGGATTAAAGTCATGTGCCACCACACCTAGCTAAAAGTTTTAATTTTGAGACAGTGTTTCACTGAGTTGGCCAGGCTAGCCTTAAACTCACTTTGTAGTCCAGAAGGTCCTGAACTTCTGATCCTCTTGTCTCAGACTCCCAAGTAACTGGGATTACAGGACTGTGCCACTAAACCTAGCTACATCTTTCCTCTTGACTAGCACTTTCTATGACTAAGCAGGCTCAGAATGGTATCTGGTATGTTCAAGAGTAAGTTAAATAAAAAGCATAGATTGGAAAGGAAAAATATCCTTAATCCTATATAAGTCTGTCAACAAACCAAACTGTAAAGTCTACTAAAAATAGATTGCAAGTTCTGAAAACCAAAGATGCTTTCAACAGTTGCTGGCACATCTCACTGCTATTACATGTTCCATACACAGAATATGAACATATATTAAAGCTTTTTTTTTTTTTTTCGGAGCTGAGGACTGAACTCAGGCCTTGCACTTGCTAGGCAAGCGCTCTACCACTGAGCTAAATCCCCAACCCCTAAAGCATTTTTTTTTAATTGATTGTGATTTTTTTAAAGATATTTTATTGGCCGGGCATGGTGGCGCACACCTTTAATCCCAGCACTCGGGAGGCAGAGGCAGGCGGATCTCTGTGAGTTCACCCCCAGCCTGGTCTATATAGTGAGTTCCAGGAGAGCGGGAGCTAGAGGGAGACCCTGTCTCAAAAAGACTCCCCCCCAAAAAAATTTTATTATTTTTATTTTATGTGTATGCGTGTATTGCCTACATGTAGGAAGTATACCCATGTCGTGCAATGCCCATGGGAGACAGAAGAGGCGGTTGGATCCCCTGGAACTGGAGTTAAGGACAGTTGTTAGCTGCCATGTGGGTGCTGGGACATGAACCCAGGTCTTCTGCAAGAACAGTCAGTGTTCTTAACTGCTGAGCCATCTCTCCAACCCATGATTCTTTTTTTCATGCAAGTGTTTTTTGGTTTTTCTGGAAAGAGGTTGGTTGGTTTTTTTAGAGAGTCTCCCTGTAGCCTCAGCTGGCCTGAAACTTGATATGTAGACTGTCTGTCAAATGCAGGGAATAAAGGCATGTGTCACCACACCCAGAGGTTCATGCAAGTGTTTTTTGTTTATTTATTTATTTGAGCAGGGATATGTGCAGATATCAGAGAACAATTTCCAGGAATCATTTTTCTCTTTCCACCATGTAAATCAGGAGATGGGGGATCAAACTCAGGTTGCTAGGCTTAGTATCAAGTGTCTTAACCCAATGAACCATCTCATTAGTCCTAGTTTTTTATTTGTTTTAACGTGTATGAGCGTATTGCTCACATGTACAAAAGTGAGCCCATGTTGTGCAGTGCCTGCAGAGGTCAGAAGAGGATGATCCCCTGGAACTAGTTCTTAGCTGCCATGTGGGCGCTGGGAATCAAACCCAGGTCCTTTGCAAGAACAGTCAGTGCTCTTACCGCTGAGCCATCTCTCCAGTCCCAGTTTTTTGGTTTTTGAGTCGAAGTCTTAGTACACAGCCCAGGCTGGTCTCAAATTCTTGATCTTCCTATCTAAGCTTTCCCATATGGTGGAACTGTGTGTGCCACCATACCTGCCCTGATTCTAATTATTTTTTGTTGTTGAGACAGGGTCTCCCTATAGCCCTTTGGTCTAGAACTCACTATGTAGATCAGGCTGGCCTCAATCTCACAGAGATCTGCCTGCCTCTGCCTCCCAAGTGCTGGGACTAAAGGCATGCACCACCATGTCTGGCTTGGCAGCAAGTGCCTTTACCCAATGAGACATCTAAACAGCCCACAACTCTGACACCAATTTTTGACCGAGATCAACCTATATCATTTTACTTCGTCATCTCTATTTATTGTGCTGAATCTACTCAAATTCAGTATCTTAAAATCTCCACAATTTGGGGGCTAGAGATGGCTCAGAAGTTAAGAGTGCTTGCTGCTACTGTTCTAGAGGGACCAAAGTTGGGTTCCCAGCACCCATGTCTAGAGGTTCACAACTGCCTGTAACTCCAGTTCCAGGGATCTGATGCCATTCTAGCTTCTGAGGACAATGCATTCACGTGTAAAAATCCATACACATATACACAGGGTTTAAAATAATTTTAAAAATTAAGGCCAGGTGTGGTGGCACAAAACTTTAGTCCCAGCACTCAGGAGGCAGACAGGTAGATCTCTTAGAGATCAAGGACTGCCTAGCGTACTAAGCAAGTTCTAGGCCAGCTGGGGTTACAGGGAGACCTTGTCTCAAATATACCAAAAAACTACAATTTTTCTCCTGTATTTTAAGAAAATAATAAGCAGAAGCTCTCAGACAATTTTAGCTTATAAAGCTGAGATAGAAATTAAGCAGTCACCAAACAAAAGCCAAGGAACTTGCAAGATACCACAACCTTGCAAGCAGAAATCATTCACATCCTGATTTACAGAATGAGCTGAGGCCAGAAAAAATGTTACTAAAGGTAGCTCAAAGAGTGGAGGGTACCAGAGGCAAAACTAGTGACTAGGAGCCTTCACTCCAGGGAGGTTCTTAGCTCTAAGACTGTTATTCATATGCAAAATGGAGGTAATGAAAATACCAACCACAACAGGCTACTCAAATTGTAAAAAACCACTAGAGAAACAGGTAAAAACTGGTGTCTGGCACTAGTTCATGCTTGGTGTCTTTTCTTTCCCATTTCTTTGTATTGTGGTGTCCAGGGTTAGTACTGAACCAGGGTCTTACACATGCTAGGAAAAGGCTCTATCACTGAGTCACATCCTTAATCCTGTCATTCCAGTAATCAGACTCTACTTAGAGATGAAAATAAAACAATAAAAAAAGCCTTCTGGATTTAACAGATCTGGAGACGTTCGATGCTCAACTACTTTACAAACACCCATCAAAATAGAAAAGGCTTCCAGAATGTATAAGAAACCAGAAACTCTAACGATTAGGTAATGTGTTGATGCAAGCAGTAGGAAAACTTCCTGAACTTAGCTAGTGTAGTTGTCAGCATCTCCACTTGTGCCATCTTCTCAAGATCTTAATCTTCTGGGCCTGCGCCACACCCCTCTGTGGCCACCTCACACTTGGTCTCCGGTGTCATTTCTCAAAACACATCTGGTGTGCTTGGTGTGCCCCTGACTCACTCTAACCTTCTCCCTCGAGACAACCTCAAAGTAGACTACAGCAGCGTTGCCACCCAAGGGGCGCAGCACTAAACGCGAGGATGGTTCCACCGCCCCTACTGTGGGGAGCCGCCCACAACGTCTCGGCAGGAGCCCAGCACCAGATGGCCCAGGATGGAGGGCGGCAGAGCCATCAAGGTTGCGGACAGAGGGTGAACCTCATAAAGAGCTGCCTGGAGTGAAGAAAACTCCAACTCCAGGAACGGGGAAGACGCCAAGGAACAGGGCTTCAGGGCGGTCACAGGGGACGCCGAGGGGGCCTGGAGAGATGCACACCACTACCACCGGGACCCTGGAGGTCAAGGGCCTGCAGGCCAAAGAGGGGCCGTGGGTCAAGCGGGCAGAGGCTGAGGGTACCGAGGGGCCGAGACGAGATTCCCCGAGGGCCAGAAGGCGAGACAGCCCCGGCCCATCTGCGACGGACAGCGGGTACCTTGGCCGGTGGAGTCCATTTCAGGCGGTGGCCGGGCCGCAGCGGTCGGCGTTAGAGTCTCAGGTTAAAAGAGCCGAGTTTAGAGCACTGGGAGCCGCCAGCCGGATGCACGCGAGCCCGGGGAACCGCCGGGCCGTAGCGGCATGACGTAATCAGCGACGCGCCAGCTCACTTCCGCTCGGGCTCATGCCCCGCCTTTATCCCCGCCTTCGCTCAAGAAGTGTCCAATGAGAGCGTTCTCTGGCCGCCTAGAACTAATCCTTAACTTGAGAGGGTCGAGGCTGCGGCGGAGCAGGAAGCGATGCTGGGAGCCCTCCCAGGTTGGTTCCACCCGCAAGACTCCGAGGTTGAACGGCCCCAGCTGTCGAAACCAGGGGCATGGTGTCACAGTTGCTCTGCAAAGGCCCAAGCTGGCCCTCACTATATCCTCAGCCGCACACCTCAGCAGATCAGACTCAGACCCTTTCGTCTCCCGATCCCTGATTTGGGGGTCAGGCGATTTGGGGGTCAGGCTCCGCCCCCCGTAAGTCCTTTTGTCTTTTGCTTTTTTGAGACGACTATCTGTGTAGCCAAGGATGACGAACTTCTGATACTCCTCCCTCCACCTCCCTAGAGCTAGGATTACAGGGGTACGCCAGCACTCCCGCTTTCAGGCGGTACTGGGGATCGAGAACTCGGCTTCTGGCATGTTAGGCAAGAACTGTACCAATTGAATTGCATCCACAGCCTCGTTTTGGAGACTTTGAAAAAGATGAGAGCACGATTCATACAGTTGCCTGCAGGCGCCGCTCTCCTCCAGCTGGGTTCCTACACGCCTAGTCCAGCGCGTTTTGGGGGTTGCTGGGCACTGCGTAGTGAGTTCACCATAGGCTTGAACACTGCATGAGGCCCCTCGGATCCCTCACACTTCGGTGCGGCCGAACCCTGTGTATGCACCCCAGTATTTTCTTCCTTTTCACAGCAATTGGTGGGGCAGCACTGGAGGGCCCTTACAGTTTACAGATAAGGAAACTGAGGCTAAAGTAATTTTCCAGAGATCACACCAGAGCTTCCAGGTTCTTGAGATGTTAATGTGCCGATATTACAATGAACAAGCACCTCCCTGACTTTAAATGAGGGAGTTGTGACCACTGGGCAACTTTCTGCTAAAACTAGTCTAAGAATTTCCTTTGGCCCTTACTTGCTCCTGAAAGGAAAATCGTTGATACCCTTTTTTCAGAATTGCCCTACCCCCTACCCCCAAGGCTGAATTGCCCCTTTCCAGCCAGGCCTCTGCAGGTACTGGTCCCTGGAAACCTCCCACTATCCTTTCCTTCACCTGGCTCCTCTACCTGTCCATTTACCAACTGGCTTAAACCAACCTGGACAGCCCCCTGTGCACAGGACTAGAAATGACAGTAACTAATAGTCCCTGCCTCATGAAGTGGCTGCAGTACAGATGGTGGAGCTGAAAACTTGTCATTCTCTCTTGTATCTTTGAGCCATAAACAAAGCCCAGGCTACCCGGTGCAGTATTACTTCCTCTGTAAGTCATCCCCTCCCCTCCATGGAATGTGGAAATGAGAGGGCCACTGCATAGCAGCAACTGCTGAGACCTGTAGTGAGGACCTGAAATGTTCTGCTTTCACTCCTAGGAACTACTTGATTAGCTGGTGTCTTCTTCCCAGGAGCCACCCTGAAGCCCAGGCCAGGTGAAGGGCACTTTCTTGAGGCCCCACTGCTTTTTCCCCCCACAGCCAGACACCATCAGACATTATCATAAATTCGAGTCAGGTTCATCTTTACATTCCCTTTTAGGAACTAGGCATGGGCATTCAAAAGTGTGGGAAGAGAAAGGAAGGAAGCAGGGAAGAGCAGAGAGAAAGTGAAGGCAAGCACAGTCCAGACATACTGTCCACCCTCCCAGACACGAGGTCAGGATTCCCAGCAGGGCCAGCTTTTCTGTGGAGGTGTAGGGAGACAACAGATGGGAGGCCTGCACGGTGTACATCTGCCCAAACACATAAGCCACATGAACAGTTTACAGTCCCCAGGGCAACTGGAAGTCCTCAGGCTCCAGTGGACTGCAGTGTGTTGCCTCCAGGTTCTTGAGGTGTCTGCGTGCCAAGATCAGTGCAAGCTGCTTGCGCCGCCTGGGGATCAGGCCTTGGCCCACAAGCCAGGGGAAAGTAGGTCCATGTGGCCCCCAGGCCTCAGCATCCTCCAGTTCCTTCTGGCAGCGCTCACGGTAAGAATGCAGCATTGCCAGACACCACTCATCATCCACCTGGTAGCGAGCATAGAAGGCAGCTTCCTGAGCCAGACTGCTGGCACGTAGCCAGCGAGTTACTACCCTGCAGCCATCGCGGGCCATTACAGACGGGTATCGGTGATGAAGCAGACACAACAGCAGTTCATTGCCGCGGTTACCCTCCACATCGCCCTCTGCATGGCAGGATGGCATGGTGGGCAGGTGGCTTGAGGTGCTCACAACGTCATCCTGGGTGCGTCGAAGCAGCAGCACTGGGCCTGGATAGCAGCACAGCTGCTCTGCGACATTGAGGTTGAAGTGCTCACGCACAGTGCATACCACCAGCCCCTTCCGACTGTGGGGCATGACCTTCAGCGCAAGCGGGACGAGGTCATCGAAGGTGGCATCGAGCACCAGTGCACCCAGCTCTGGGTAAGTCATGGTGGCCCAGGTGGCAGTGAAGCCACCAATGGACCAACCGTAGATCACTACATGTGCTGGAGGGAAGTGCAGGCGGTGCAGCGCATACTTGACCACCACATCCATAACGTTGGCATCATGCTGAGGGGATGGTGCGCCTGAGCTGCCCCCAAAGCCGGGGTGGTTCCAGCCTAGCACCGAGTAGCCAGCCTCCAGCGGTGCGAACAAGCAGCCCATCTCGTAGAAACCAGCATTGCCTTCACAGCAGATGACTAGACGCAGGCCACGGCCATGGCTTCCCGGGTGCTGGCGGCGGTCCATGAACATGGTGTCAATCTCGTTGCCATCACAGGTCACCAGCTTGGCGCGCCGCCCACGATAGCGTTCCACGAGATGCTCTTGACCCTGCTGAAGCAGAGGAAGCAGCGCACGCGTCATCAGGAACATGGAACCAGGGTATACCAGCCAGCGGCCCAGCGAGTGGGCCAGTGCATAACTGGCGAGCTGACTGGGCAGCTCTCGGATCTGCTGCAGGAGGCACTGGGTCTGGCTACGAGCCCTGCGTGGAGGCCTCGCAAGGGCATCCGCGCCCAAAGCGGCATCTTGTAGCAGCCACACACCCTCTGCGGCTGCCGCGCATGTCAGCGCCCAGTGACTGCTGTACCGGTGTCCGCGGCGGCACGGACGTCATCCCAGCGGAAGTCCACCGGCCAGCTGCAGAAGTTGTAGGTGTAGTTTGCAGTCAAGTAGATCTTGAACACGTGCACTAGTGCCTTTATAAAGCAGATGATACACATGGGCTACAAGGCGCTGCGCAGGTCCTTGTTAGCCCCAGGGCCCAGAGGCCCAGTTCTGGCGCTGGGATTGCAGCAGGAGATGCAGGCCCGGTCCAGCGGGCGGCTGCGGATGCAAGCACCACGCACAGCTGTCTGGTGGCATGCCTCCTCTGGGCAGGCCCCAATGGCCTTTGTGACTTGTGCCTTCCAGGGGCCAGGGAAGGCTGCATCTCCCCCAGTTTTGTGAGTCATTGTTGCTGGGAGAAGAGATGACCCTAGGGTGATGGGCTCACAAAGGTGTCTAAGGCTTGGTATACCTCAAGTTCTGTCCCACCCCCAAGGACAGCTGCCTTAGGACCTCACAGCAGCTCATGGCCCTGTTTCTGGCACCCTGATTCACTCCCACTTACTTGACTAAAGACAGGTAACCAAAGGAGCCAGAAATAAACAGTTTTGACCTCTTTATTAGAAGGAAGGAGGAGCTAGAAAAACAGGATTTCCCATACCTGGGCCACAGCTTGCTTTTTTACTTGCTTTGGACTCCCCACCTTGGTCCTTGGGGTTCGTTGGTTTTCATCCCCCAACCTCTTGGAGGTGGTGTGGGCTCAAAATGTGATTCCTGCTGGTCCACACTTGCTTTCTCAGGAAAGGGGGTAAGGGTAGACTGGGAATACTCCCGTAATCCTCTCACCCCTGCCTTTTCTGGATCCTCTTTTCACTGGGCCAGCAGCAGCAGTGACCTTCTCCAGGTGGGTCCTGCCTGTCTGTGGTTCCTCTTTTTCAGTCCCTGGTTGAGCTCCTTTCCCTCAAACCAACCCACAAAACTGCACCTTCCTCTTTTCTTTAAAAGAAAAAAAAGGTTCCCTTTTTTTTCCTGCACTGAAGAAGGCCAGCTCTACAGATGGTCAAGGGGCTGACAGAGTTGGGGGGCAGCATACAGCACAGTCCAGGGACTCATTTATCAGTGGCCCGGGCCTGCAATGCATGCTAACAACAGGGTAACAATCAGCTCTCCTGAGCCCAAGGTCCAGGCCTGCTTGAGAGACCCCAGGCCTTTAGGGAGAGTGGTTTGCAGACCCCCAGCAACCCCCTCTCTGCTCTCCTATTCTGCTTTCCAGTTAAGACACTGCCTGGGCAAAGCAATCACCTAGCTTTGGACTCACCTGAGAAATGCTGCTGTCTTTAGAGGGGACAGGAGGAGAACCATGGAGAGTATGTGGTTTGGGGAAGCTATTTTCCCCCCACCCCCCAGCCAGATAAGATGCTTAAAACCCACTTAAAGTTGAACTTCAGAACTCTGTATGTATGTATGTCTGTCTTTTTTGTGTGTATTTGAGACAGGGTCTCGCTAGTTAGTTCAGACTGGCCTCAAGCTCACAATCATCCTGTCTTAGCCTGTTAGTGCTATAATTACAGGTGTAGCTCATATGACTCTACAATGGTGCAGAAGCATAACTGTGCAAGTATACTGTTTCTACTTTCAATACAGTATTTGCTAAATTACAGGAGATATTCAATACTTTGTTATAAAATAGGATTTGGGTTCAATGGTTTTGCCCAGCTATTGCTTATATAAGCGCTCTGAATGTACTTAACACAGGTTGCATTGAGCTGTGGTACTCAGTATGTTAGGTATATTAAATGCAGTTTATCACATTTATTTATTTTGTGTGTATGTATGTGTGTGGGCATGAGGTGCTATGATCCATATGTGGAGGTCAGAGAACAACTTGTGGAAGTTGGTTCTCTCCTTGTACCATAAGGATTCTGAGGATTGAATTCAGGTTGTCAGGATTGGCAGCAAATGTCATTACTCTCTGAGCCATCTTGTGAGTCCTTCAATACATACATTTTTTTTAAGTTTTCTTTTATGTATATGAGTGTTTTGCCTGCATGTATGTAATGTATGTATGTATGTGCACCACATGTGTGCCTGGTGCCTGTGGAGGCCACAAAAGGGCATTGGAGTCTCTGGAACTCTGGTTACAAACAGTTGTGTGTTGCCATGTGGATGGTGGGAAACAAATCAGGTCCTCCACAAGAACAGAAAGTACTCCTAACTGCTAAGCCATCTCTCCAGCCCCCTCCCCGACCTTAATACATTTTTGACTGAAGATATTTGTAACTGCCAGGCATAGAGGTGCTCACCTGTAATCTTGGCACTTAGGAGGCTGAGAGAGAAGGATTGCTAGAAGCCCAAGGGCAGCCTAGTCTACATGGTAAGTTCCAGGCCAGCCAGGGCTATACAGAGAAACTTGCTGCCCCCTCCCCCCGAAGCAAAACAAAACGAAAAGAATAGTTGCAACTTATTATGGGTCTATCTGCATGTAACACCATCACAAACCAAAGGACATCTGTATTTTAAAATCGTTTATCTGGCTTATGTTGAATGAGATATCCTGTTTTTAGATTTGTTGTTTTGCTAAATCTGGCACTTCTGCCCCAGATGCACATGCAACCAGCTCCAAGACCCAGATTCTCCTGACAGACAGCTTTTGTTCCAATTGAGCTTCTCTGCTCATTGGTCAGGTCTGAGGACCACAGCATGACTTAGGATTCTGCATTCTTTTCTCCTTGGGTCCAGGGCTTTAGCATTCCAGGAGAGAGCCCACTGGGTGCGTCACCTTTGGCCAAGGGATAGGCAGAGTATCTTGGGGATATCTGTGGTCCTTATGCTTTTGAAATGTCCACCTCTGACCCTGTAGGGAAAGGAGGTTAGGAATGAAGGTGGAAACCTTAGAGGGTAGGGTGGGGCATTCACTCTCCAGAAACCTCTCATAAACTGATGCTATCTGCTCTGGGGCCAAAGGTACCAGGTTCATTTTGTGTGAGACATGGGGCTGATTTCCACAGTAGAACAGGGAATCCAAGACCTCAGTGCAGGTCCAAGCAACTGGTGGGAAGGATTCCTTGAGGGTTTGAAAGCTGCAGACCCTGCAGACACAATAGCCTCAGTGGCAATGTCCTGGAGGACTATGTGCATGGTATCTGGAGGTACCACCTTTTGTTTATTTCTAGAGGCAGTCTCCCAGCTTGATCTGCTCTGCAACTTATTTGGAAATGAAGGGTTTTCTTTAGCCAGTCCTACCTACCCTTATCCTGCTCCTTTAAAGAGAAGGAAGAGGCGGGAGAGAGCCAGAGGTCAGCAGACTGGAGCCACTAGCCCACAGGGACTCCAGGCCTTAGCCTGTGTCTAGCCTGGCCCTTGACCCCACCAGTCCGCAGGAGTCCAAGTGCCCCAGAACTGTCAGCTCTTGTTCAGACAGGAAAACATGTGACAGGAAGGAGCTGTCCTTTACCAAAGAGCCCCCAAGACTGGGCCAGCTGCAGTAGTAGCAAGGTCCTCTTGCACAGTACCCCCTCTACTTAGGGCAGCCCGGTGGGGTAGGGGGACCTCTGTGTTCCTGCTTATCAGTTTGTGAAAGAATCCTTGCCATCCACCCCTTCAAAGTAGACATCTAAGCAGGCACTCCACCCCCACTGAGGCCTACTAGCTGAAGACCTCTGCCCTCCCCGACTGAGGCAGTGCTTCCTCCCTGGCCGGTTCTGTTCACCTCCCTAGAGGCCCTTGATTTATATGTTGAGCCTGAAAAGCTAACCTTGGAGAAGGAAAGGAGAGAGAGAGAAAAACAGTCCCAGAGGCCAGAGGGGCTGGAGCCAGAATCAGAGCCCCTTGACAGAGGGCATTCAGCTCAGCACCAGCTGACCACAGCAGCATCCTGGCCTTAGGAAAACTGAAGCTGGCTTCAGGAAAGGGAGCTGAGTTTGCACAACTGCTTCTGCTCAGGAAATGGGGTGCAGGGAAGATGGGGGTAGTTTAGAGTCCAAAGACAGGAGGGGATGCTTCCTGGCGGATGCAAGGTCAAAAGAAGGGGCGGAAATGGCCAAGACAGCTGCTGAACATCTGGAGTCACAGAGAATTAATTATCCAGCGCCCTGGAGGACAGTGGGGTGGGTGGGGGAGCCTTCTCCTTCCTGACTCCCTAAAGAGCTGCCCCATTGTCTCCCTCTGGCCAAGAATGAAGGAACTGGTGAGCAGCCCCTCCCCAGATGTCCCAAACATCCATCCTGGGGTGATCCTGGGCCACAAATTATCCCTTCTGAATCTTCAGCAACAGTGAAAGCCTGTGACCACACAAGACACACCCTTTGGACATGTCTTATGTATGGAGAGGAGGAGGTAGGGGGCCAAGACCCTTCCAGAACCTGAGGGGGACATTAATCCTTCCCCCTATATCTAACCAGTGGGACTAGCCCAGTGTTCCTTGGCAGTAGGGGAATGTCCGTGCTGCTTCCCATGAATGTCTGGGTGGGGTCATATATGGTCAGAGTTACCCCAGGGTTCACCACCTCCTTTCTTGGGGCAGGATGCAGTGTGCACCCTTACTACAGACTGTGAGGGTAGACAATCTCTCAATGGGACTCAGGCTGGGCCCTGCTCCTGAATTGGTCTCTGGGTTCCCAGATACACTTGGGTCATTGTATGGTCAGGGGGCAGTCTTACTTTTGGCTTGGGAATCTCAGAGCAGAGATCTTAGCTATTTTACTATGGAAATACCCAGATTTGATCTAAAGTGTTATTGTTAATTAATTATTTAACATTCTAATTCAGTCAGACAGGGTTGTCCTTCCTACACCCCTCCTTGGTTTCCCAAGTTAGTTAACTGATCTGTCCTTTCATACTTTACTTGTCTGCAAAAACATATGCATATACATTTTCACCAAGGGATTATTTTGTTCTTATTCTTTCTCTTTCCCTCTCTTTTTCTCCCTCTCTAGGAAATTACTTTCTTTTTAAAAGATTTGTTGCCGGGCGTGGTAGCGCACGCCTTTAGTCCCAACACTTGGGAGGCAGAGACAGGCAGATCTCTGTGAGTTCAAGGCCAGCCTGGTCTACATAGTGAGTTCCAGGACAGCTGGGGCTACAGGAAGACCCTGTCTCAAAAAGACCAAAAAAATAAAAAAAGATGTGTTTTATTATTTTTAATTGCATGCATTCGTGTGCGTGTGTGTGTGTGTGTGTGTGTGTGTGTGTGTGTGTGTAAATGTAGAGGCCAGAGGTGTCAGATCCTCCTGGAGCTAGAGTTAAAGGCAGTTGTGAGCCACCTGATATGAGTACTGGGAATTGAGCTCAGGTCCTCTGCAAGAGCAGTATGATTTCTTAACTGCTGAACCGTCTCTCCAGACTCTGGCTCCCAAGTGCTGAGATTAAAGGTCTACACTGTCATGCCTGGCTCTTTTTTTGTTTTGTTTTGTTTTTTTGTTTTTTTGAAGCAGGGTCTCCCTGTAGCCCCAGCTGTCCTGGAACTCACTATGTAGACCAGGCTGGCCTTGAACTCACAGAGATCTGCCTGCCTCTGCCTCCCAAGTGCTGGGACTACAGGCGTGTGCCACCACGCCCAGCTTCTTTTTTTTTTTTTAAAGACGGGATTTCGTTTATTCCATTCTGGCCTTGAATTTCTGATACTCCTGCCTCCACTTTCCAAGTGCTGGGATTAGAGGCATGCACCACCATGATCTGTTTATGCAATGCTGTAGATTGGACCCAGGGTTTTCTGCATGCTAAGTAAACAGTCTACCAACTGAGCTATGTCCATAACCCTTATTTTGTTATTTCTGTTTATAGAAATAAGTTTAATGTACACTGAAGCTTTTCTTGACAATCTATTATGAACTTCATTATTGCTTTGGTAGGCAGCTGTAAAACTGCCCTGGGTATTCTGCTGCTGTGCCCAACAGTCTTGTAGACCTTTCCCTTCTATAAACATGGCTGTAGCATACATAGGCATATTGTCGATTATAGACCCTTGTCTCTAGGTACTTTTCCTACACACTAGATGCCTAAAGGTGTATTGTTTTATGAAGGGTATGTTTTTTTTTAATTTGTGTGTAAATATGTGTATGTACAGTGCATGTGAGTGCAGGTGCCCACAGAAGCCAGAGGTGTTGGATCCCTAAGGAGCTGGAATTATAGGTGGTGGTAAGCCACCTGATGTTGTTGCTGAGAAATGAACTCAGGTCCTACTGGAAGAGCAGGATGTGCTCTTAACTGGTGAGTCTCCAGCCCCCCCCCCCTTTTTTTTTCTTTCTTCTTCTTTTTTTTTTTTTGGTCTTTTTGAAGCAGGGTCTCCTTGTAAGCCCCAGCTGTCCTGGAGCTCACTATGTAGACCAGGCTGGCCTTGAACTCACAGAGATCCGCCTGCCTCTACTTCCCAAGTTCTGGGACTACAGGCATGCGCCACCACACCCGACTCTTTTTCTTTTTTTTGAGACAGGGTCTCCTTGTAGTCATACCTGGCCTGGTAATTGCTATGTTGAACAGGCTGGCCTCAGTCTCACAGAGATTCACCTACCTCTGCTCCCAAGTGGGATTAAAGGCATGCACCACCAGAGCCAGTTCTTTCTTTTTTTTTCTTATGTTAATCAGAACATTTATTTTATAACTGATGAACTGGGTGCTACAATGGCTGCCCTCTTGGATTTGGGTGTTGGTTCTTCACAGAACCTATGTCTGAATCTGTAATAGACAATTTTTAGGTGCCCCATTCACCCTGTCTCAGTAGTATGTCATCTCCTAGCCCTGGCCTACAGTTATACTTTCTCTTGTGCTTGTCAGGGCAGCCACACTTGCCACAGGTCAACTTCTAAAGGTGGTACAGCAGCAACACAAAGTGTGTGTCTTATTGCCATCCA